AGTTCCCAGGACTTCTGTTCCCTCAGTGCTGGGAAATAAAGGAGCAGTCTTCATCACCATTAAATCAGGTTTAATGGCCACAGAAATGTCAGGGTTGAGGGGTTGGTGTGAGGCCTGGTTCTGAGACACGATCCATATGCAGGCCTTGTGCTCTGTGGGCCCTCCACCTTCTCTCCAAGGGAGAAGGCATATCTCTTTCTAAAAGCTGACCCTTTCATCTCAAAGTACTTTATGCAGAAATAACTTGCAGAAGAGAATGCCAAATTCTTTAGATGTAGAAGAGAAACCTTTCCAGGCTCTCCCTGGACCACAGGGTTAACCCCTCCCTTGTCGGCACCTAGGCTTGGAGACAGAAGTTACTATTTGTGCCATGCTTTCTGTCTCTCCCTGGCCTTACATTTACATAACCACATGGCTATGGTTTCACTTCCCTTATTGGCAGAAGAAAATAAAAAGTGGCTTTTATTTTATTTTGTTTTCCCAGTGAGAATGGTCCTTCCCATTGGCTCTCAACGGGTCAGGACTTATTTCTGATAGCATGACACAGAGGTGACTGCCAGCCTTTCCCTCCCTCAGTACAGGAAGCAGAAAGGATCTGCAGAGTGGATCAGCCCTCAACACTGTGGAGAGCGGGGGCCCCAGCGGCCTCGGCCTGTGTGCTCATGCTCACTTGCTGTTTCCACTCTCCTACCAGATGTTCACTGAGCAACCCCGTGAGCTAGGCTTGGTTCTATGCCTGGGAAAAAGGCAGTGTGTCAACCCCTAATTACCCTGCCTGAGTGTCTCGAGCTCAGTGAGGCAGATGGACAGCAAAGGAACTAAGTCTGTTTGCTAGTGTTTGTTTGATGACTAGTAAGAACCAGAGTAATTATAGGAAGTAAGCAAATCATGTGTTCCCATGTTGTTTATTTCTAATATGTAACACACTCTTATCTTCCCTGGGATGTTGTCAGGAAATGGCTGGCAGGGAAAGATACTTTCCATGTTAAACCTGAAAAAAGAAAAAACAAAAAAACCAGTTTTGATTGGAACAGGTAAATAAATATCTGTATATTTTTTCTTCTCTTCTGAACTCCATTTCCAGCTCAGTCCTGCTTGGGTCTGAGATGGGCCAGGGGTGCTTTTATACCATACTAGTTTGGGCAGATGTCACATTGGTTACAAATATTTGTGGTTGGAATTATCTTTAGTGTTGGATAAACATTACGCTCAGTTGATACTTAAGAGTTGGCTATAGAAGGTGTCCTTCTTTACCTCAAGGCAGGCATATATTAGTGAAGCATCAGGAACAGAAAGCCAGGTTCTGTATTTGTGCATGTCATTTGCCTATGTTCACACAGATGACTTGACCCTGAAGAGTGAACATTGCAGACAAACTTACATTTCCTGCTGGTTCACAGCATAACAAATATAACATTGCTCTTTGCCCTGGAAGTGCATAACTTGAACTCATTTTCATGAGATCATTACTCAGAAAACCGCTGGTCATTGTCCTTGGAGAAGCCCCGCAGGCTGGGAGGAAGTCTGTGTTTCCTGTGGGCCGCCCAAACACTGGTCACTGATCCCATTTCAGTTGTGGAAGTCTTGGAGATTTCCTTAGTGGTTACCAGGACTATACTTTTGAGTAACCTGGCATCATAGGCACACTTGAACAAAATTCTTTTTCAATAATTTCAATACCTAGCTTTGCTGGCCATACTTCACATAGGAGGGAGTGCTTATGAAAAGCAAAAGTGTAAAATGAAAATGAAGGGGCCTTCTTGAAGGCAGGGTTTAAAAGACACACTACTACAAGCTATTTCCATCCACTAAGAAATGAGTTTGGTCCCCAACTAGGGAGTTCACCTACATGGCACAGCAGACCTTTCCTGTCATGTCCACTGCTCCCCTCTGCAGTGTATTTCAGTACATCTTCCTGTTCTGCTTCCCACTGTGTCTCTAGTGAATCCTCTCACCACCAGCATCTCTGGCTTGGACCCCAGTTCTTGTATGCATAAACAAATAAATCTTAAAAAGATGGGAAGACTAGAGTATCTGCTTTTTCAAAATAATTCCCTCACCATAATTTAGGAAAGTCTGGCTAAAGAGTAACTAGTCTATATATTAGGGGCTGGGGTTTGGTGACTTCATGTGGAATTTAAGCCACTTGTAACAGGTGGTAAACTATTAAAAAGTTTCCATTATTAAATATAAGAGTTATGCCAAGGGTCTGGATGCTTCTGTTTTGCTCATGTACCGTGAGAATACGGGGGCCATTTGGAGATGTCCATGTAGGGTGAGCAGGGTCATGAGGGCTGGATGAGAGAACTTGGGAGTGGGTGAAGGTGTGCAGGAATTTGAAGGGCTGTCATTGGATGACAAGTGGGATTTATTCTGGGTATCGTGAAAGGACTGAGCTAGGAACAGTGGGTGGGACTCGGACAGCTGCAAGTCTGGCTTCAACTTTAGAAGATTGTTTCTCTACAAGGGACAATGTGTGGTGGTGACTTTCAGTAGCGCAATGTTTAAGCAGAGGCTGCAGCACTGTGAGAGAATGTGGTGGTGAGATTTCAGAATCCCAGGGAGGCTGCCCCATCTGACTTCAAGGATCCTTTCTACTTTTATGGCCTTGGCAGAGTAGATAGGATTGGGGGGTGGGGGCGAATGCTGAAATTTACCTGGATCCACATTTATATCAGAAACCTCTCCTCTGGATGCAGCAGCCAGGGTCTGGGACCCACCAAACCCAGGTCCAGGTCCAAGGCACGTGTGGAGACCCTTTGATCCTCCAGCTGCCTCAGCTTAGTCTCCAGGAGGACAGCAAGTGACTTCTGCCGCTATAAAGAAAGTTCACTCATTCCTTATCCCTCTATTCCTTTGCTCCTTCCACAACCAACTTCTCCAGAATGCGCTCCCTGCCACTCTCTGCGATATGCCACCAAACTGAGGTGGTTACACACACACCCTCATGTCCCCCGTGAAGCTGTGCTCCTCAAGGACACTTTTCCTCTCATTTCCTTTGTTTAATGATACCCCTCCCCTTCCTCCACCACCAAACACATGGACACTCATCCCTGTGGTGCCTAGAACAGAACTTGTAGTATCTTGGGAATTCACCAATGTGAGTGAGTCTATTTTAGTCATTTTAGACTATAATCTCTTACTTTGTTTGTCTTCTGTAAAGAAAATGAGTTCAGACACAAAGATTTCTGGGCATTTCCTTCTGATGGGGCAGATAATATCTGCTCACGGTTCAGCAGGGTCTCAGGTGGGAGAGCACATAGATACGTGCAATGACAGCCCAGGCTGGCCCTGGTTACACAAGGTGGATGGCACCTACTGGTCCCCAGATGATCGTGTGACAGCTGAGAAATAGTCAGCTCTACACCATGCAGCTGCCATAGAAGGGGAACGCAGGCCTCTCTGAACGCTCACATCCACCCGTTAGCTTTGAACGGCTGCCTTTCGTCTACAGAACAAGGGCTGAATTTCATCACCACTGATCCATGTGCACACACTTGAGCCTCCATCTCCCAGAGCACTGGGGAGAAGCTAAAGTCCTGAGAGCTATGACACTGGTCTTGAGTCATTCTTCCTAGTTACTAACCCTGGCCACCTCTTCAGCACTGCCATGGGCCATCCCAGTCTCTGGAGTTTGATGCTGGGTATTGTTAGAAGTGGTGGTCTTCTTAAACTCAGGCAAGAGGCAGATGGGAGCCACTGTCTTCCTTCTGCAAGCTCTGAGGAGAAAACAAGAAGCCCTGCAGAAGGGTTGTACTGCTGGATTTGGGGTGTGGTTCTGTCTGGTCTCCTTGCAGGATGGCTTTGGAAAGAAACCAAGTTTCCCGCCTGCTGGGGCCTGTTCATTTTCATTCTGGTGCAGTTTCCCCTGGTGGCCTCTCATGAGCTTCTCCTTTCTCTGGAGTTCTCTCCCTGACAACTCTTTAAACAGAATGGAGCTACGCAAACACCCTTGTAAGGGGCCTGGCTGTGCTCGAAGGAAAGTCTGATCTCTGCCCTGCCTTTGGCCTGTGGACACCAGCAAGCGCCCCCCACCCAGGCTTGCTGGTACAGTGTAGTAGATTCTCCACTGCCCCAGTCAGAGAGGGGGCTTTGGAGTCCCCTTAAACTGTCCTCTTTTGGTAACTTGAAATCAAACTATGTAGGCAAAACTGAGACTATGATTGATTATTTGCGAAGTCCAGTTCACCGAGACTAGATTTGAAAAAAGCTTTGGAGGGAGTGTCCTGCTCCTTCTGCTTCCCACGCTGCTTTTCTCCACTTCCTGCTCCACACAGATAGTGGGAGGCCCTGCTCTGCGCTCCTTTTTGCCAGCATTGAGTCCAGCTGTGCTGTGTTGGAGCATGTGCCGACCCCTGAGCCAATCATCTTGCTCCGGGAGGTGTGGTGCTCTGATTAGCGGACTGAACCCCACAGTGAGCCAGGACTTCAGGAAGATGTGCTGCAGAAGCCCAGCACATCTCCCCTGTGCCCAATTACGCCTAGCTCAGAGAAAGACAAGCTCTGCCAAGCTCTGCCTTGTTATCTGTCACCCTGTCAGCCCATGGTCTGCTTTCCCTCAGACCTGCTGTGGCTTTGCAGCATCGACATGTATTGCAAGAGCAGAGCCCTGTCTGGCAAAAGCCTGGTGTCCTGGCTTGTGTTCACTCACAATACAGGGGCCTTTATTTTCTCCACCAGTGTCTTACTTATGAGATCTTTTCAAAAGTGCGTGTTTTCAGAAGTCTTAGGGCTATACCCATCTGGGCTTTGTACCCTGTGGTCTCTGAGAAGTGCTGCTGTAATGGACATGGGGGTGGTGAGGCCGTGAATCTCTGTCAATACCAGTCTACAAAGTCAAAAACACTGTCATCTGGAAAAGAACCACGCAATAAGCGATCCCAAGGCTGCTGTCTTCCAGGCACTGGCTGGATATACAGTAATGACAGTTTGCAGTATTACTGAATCCTGAATCACTCTGCATTTTGACCTGCGGATGGTCTTCTCATCCTTGTGCATAGGGAGCTGCTGGAGACCACGTGCCGTCTGGCCAACACCCTGAAGAGGCATGGCGTCTGTCGAGGGGACCGGGTGGCCATCTACATGCCAGTGTCCCCACTGGCTGTGGCTGCAATGCTGGCCTGCGCCAGGATCGGAGCTGTCCACAATGTCGTTTTTGCTGGCTTCAGTGCGGAGTCTTTGGCTGGAAGAATCAATGATGGTGAGAATGTGGGCAGTAGGAGGGAGGACATGGGGTCCTTACTTCTTGAAGTAAGCCATTAGGGACATAAAAGGGAGACAGACATTAATAAAAGTCACAGACAAATGACACACACTATCAGGGACAGGCACATAATTGAAAGAGCATTTCTTCTGTGAGCTAGATCGGAGAATGGGGGATTTAAACAGGAGAAGAAAGGAGGGAAGAATTCAGTGGGGGTAACAGCATGGGCTCCAGATGAGCAGTGGAAGAGCACGCTATCTATGAGGGCCTGGAACCAGAGGTGACTGGAATGGCTGTAGTGGAGAAAGGAAGAGACAAAACAGTGCAGGGAAAAGAGCTGGAGGCCATTGTAATGGAGATGGTGGTTCTCTCTGGGAGGCCTGGAGTCTGGTACAGCCTTAGGCTATCTTTCAGCCTTCTGTCCAAGGTTAGTCTCCTAGCTAATGTACAGAACAGTAGTGCCTTCTTGCTTTGTTTGGTGTTGGGATGGTGCCCCATTTGTGTAGGCTACCCCCCTGCACTGGTGAGATCTTAGAGAAAGTCCCCTGAACTGGCTTCTCAAGAGGCTGCCAGAACCATCAGTCGTTCTCTGTATCTCACAGAAGACTTGCTGCCTGGCAGTGAGCAGAGCCATAGTACTGAGTTCTCAGACCCTTGCTGACCACCCTTTATCAGAATAGTCTAGGAAGCCTTTCCAGTCCCTTTTAAGGTTTCTCCCTGTACTTTCAAGGATTGGTGCTTTTCTCTTCATCAGTTGAGATATGGTTTTTGCCCTCCATTCTATTAATATTGGTGTAGGGCACTGATTGATTTTCATATGTCAAACTATCCTTGTATTCCAGGAGTAAATCCCTCTTAGTCACTGTGCATACTCCTGTTCACAAGCTGCTAGAAACTGTTTGTTAACATCCTTTTAGGGGGATTTTTGCTTCAGTGTTCATAAGGATATAAGTGTATGGTTTTCTTGGTATATGCTTGTCTGGATTTGGTATCAGGGTAATACGGTTGCATAGGATGAGTTAGGAAGTATCTCTTTTTCTGAAATTTTTTGTTGTTGTTTTTGAGAAATGTTTGAGAAAGATTGATATTTGCCTGTAAGTGTCTTTACTTAAAGATAAAAATATATTTGATATTTGTCTTTAAATTCAGAATTCACTACTGAAGCCATCTGGTCTTGGACTTTTCTTCATTGGGATGTTCACTTTTTAAAAACAAAAAAGATGAGGCAAAGCGGTTAAGTGGCTTGCTCAAGGTCACACTTTTCATTGGTGACAAATCCTGGGTTTGAACACAGGCATTCTGCTCTAGGTTCATGTTTGAGCCTTTCATAAGGATACTCTGTCCTTTCACTGATGTGGACATAGTTACCAAGTGTTTCTTTGACAATGCTTTGAAACAATAGTAATTGAGTCTGGGAATTTATCATATAGGGACTTAGTAGCTGGATGCTGGGGCAGCTTCCAAATATTTTAAACAACCAGACCATGGGAGGCCAGGCGAGACTGGCGGGCCTCCATAGGGGGCCGGGGTTATTCTCTGGAAAAGGGTTGTATTTAGGGCCTTGCCAGTCAGTGCTATTTGCCAGTCAGTGGATATTTGTTCCAGACTCATCTTTAAGAAACTGCATAATAACTCACTGCAAACTTGATCCCTCTGGGCACAATTTGGAGGGTCGTTCCTTCACCTGTGGTCCTGATGTCCAGGTTGTGTTTTTACCTGATTATTTGCTTTGGGTCTTGCATTGCCCTGGATCTGTCTGAGCCTGTCTGGGCCTGTCTGAGCCTGTCTGAGCCTGTGTGAGCCTGGCTGGATCAAGGAAGAGCAGGTGTGGACACTGAAGGGTCTTCCCCTAAAAGTGAGGGTGCAAGAGGCAGTTCCTGGCAACTACTTACTTGTTCTTTCTGCAGTGAAGGTTCTTGGTCCACATGAATTTCCTGGGACAGGGCAGGAACACACAAGACACATTGGTGCTTGGCCATGAGCTGCCCAGCTTTTGTTGTTGCTGTGCCACCACAGTGGCTGTGGTTGGGGGTAGTGCAATGGCCCCTGGTCTTGGAAAGACCTAGCTGCAGGTGGGAGGGAATGACAGTGTCTGTAAGAGTTGAACTTCAAAGTAACTTCTCTCCAATTCCTTCCTTCTCCTCAGAGCAGGGGTTTCTGTACTCAGCACAAAAATTGCAAAGCACGTGACACATCCTTTTGTTTGCTGATTCTTTCACACAAGATTGGTCTTTATCATACTCAGACCTGGGATGAATGTTATCAGCCTGGGCCTTGAGGAGCAGAATGGGGAGGAAGCCCATCAGAAATATCTGTTTTGTTTCCATTAGCCAAGTGCAAGGTGGTTCTCACCTTCAACCAAGGACTCCGGGGAGGGCGTGTGGTGGAGCTGAAGAAGATAGTGGACCAGGCCGTGAAGCACTGCCCCACCGTTCAGCATGTACTGGTGGCGCACAGAACGGACAACAAGGTCCCCATGGGGAATCTGGATGTCCCCCTTGAGGAGGTGGGTTTAACTCACTTGGTGCAGCTGTGAAGGGGGTTGATTGGGTCTGAGTTGTATGTAGCAGCTGTGGTTCTCTCACGGGGCCTCCAGAGCTACCCGGTTTCCGCTGTGTTATTTTATGGGCTTAACATTCTGTTTGGGAAGATGGAACTCACTACAAACACACTGAACTCTAATGCAACAGAGACATTTGGATTCACTCTAATTTTGTGGTATGGTTACATCTGGAATGGAACTAGGGCAGACTGGAGAAGGTCAGCCCTGAATCCTGTCTGCGAAGACTGGCAGCAGCTGGGGTGGGGGCAGGGCTGCCAGGGGGGTCTCAGGAAGGCTGCATGGAGGGGAGTTGTTGATTGCTCTGTCTGTTTTTCCCTCCTTACAGGAAATGGCCAAGGAGGAACCTGTATGCACCCCAGAGAGTATGGGCAGTGAGGACATGCTTTTCATGCTGTACACCTCGGGGAGCACCGGGAAGCCCAAGGGGCTTGTCCACACCCAGGCTGGCTACCTGCTGTACGCAGCGCTGACGCACAGGGTACAGACCTCTGTGGGGATGGAGGGAGGTGCCCGCTTGCAGGGTTCTGGGCAGAGGGCCAGGGGGAACTAGATTTACGGCTGACACACCTGCTGTAAAATAGTGGATGTGGGTAGGAGGCTCACATGTTTTCCCAAGATGTATTCATGGCAGGGGTGTGAGGGCAGAAGACCTCTAGTTTGCACCGGAAGAGGCTGGGGTGCTCACCTGAGTCTCCATGCTAGCCTGTACCCCATTGTGTCTGGTGTGACCCATTGGCTCTAAGGCCGACAGGTGTAGAGCCTTCATCTAACCTGTTGCTCACAGGGCTGCATTCTGATGCCCATAAAAAATATTTTTCTTTTACAATTGCATTGGTACAAAGACAGATACATTACTATTCTGTACCAAAATGTTTGCTTCTGCTTAAACGCTCATATTTTTCTTTTGATTTCAAAGTAAAATATCTTTGTGAACCTGTAAAATTATTGTGGCCTCGGCCCTCATTACCTAGGCCACATTTTGAAAGTAAAATTACAAAAGATGTACTTTTTATAAGAAAACTTTTATTTATTCCACGGAAATTATGTTAAATTGGGCAACCCTGTAGGGATCATTAAGCAAATGATTTAGCCCATTTTTTATTCTTACAAGTGCATTTACACATCAGGAGAAACTTAAATGTGGTTGAGATTGCAACAGTGAAATATTCATCTCACTGCCCCTGTGAGATGAATATTTGAGATGCCAGCTGTGGACCAGACTCAGTTATAGCAGACGAAGTTAACTCCAGCAGCGCCAGCAAAGGAGACTGACTGGCCTAGTGACTGATTAGTAGGCCCAGGATTTCCCACTGATTTGTATTAAAAAACAAACAAACAAACAAAAAAAACCCTTGTGCATTCCCAGGCCCAAGAAGTAAGTTGAAGAAAACTTGTAATAACATTTAACCTCAGGGAAGGTGTGTGCGCATGCGCTGCGGGTCTTCATTGTTTGTGCTTCCGCGTGTTGCCAGGACTCTGTCTACGTGAGTGAAAGGAGGGGCATATAGAAGTAGGAAGCTCTCGTTGGGTTTCTTTTTAAAACGCTGAGGTAGTTTGAAGCGTTGGGAGTAGCAACTCCAGGTTCTGTAGCTAGATGTTAATAGGAGCAGTAAATGATGACATGCTTCTGTATCCTCTCGTTCATTTGTACTGAGGCCTGCTCCAGGCAGGGTGGGGCCAAGGCTTGGGGGGGCCAAGGAGGCCCAGGGTACTCCATTGGGTGCAAACAGCTTTATAACCTCTGTGTACTATTGCTCTTGTCCACTGCTCTTGTCTTGTCTTAGGAAAAGGACTACTGTGGTGAAAGAGTGCTTGCCGTCATGCATGCCCCAACTGTGCCCTGCCTGTGGTCAGTTCATGCTGGTGCTGCTCCTTTAGCACCTCAGGCCTCCACCTCCTCTGCTGTTGGATGGGTCCACAGTCCCCACAGCAGGCGCTGCCTGCCTGTAGCTGAGGTGGCAGTGTGTGTCAGACGCTGGGCGCGGTGTCTTGTTAGTGCCTCGTCACCGGGATCTCAGCTTGTGCACAGTGTGTGTGCTCATGCACAGACATGTGTGTGTTGTGAGCTGTCCATGTCCATGTCTCTGCATGGGTGTGTGCACACAGGCATGGGTATGTACACACATACTTGTGTGGAAGTATGCAAGCATATGAATGCATGAATACAGCGGGCATTAAGGTTATGGGTTTATTCAGGAAAAAGACTTGACTCTGAAGAGACAATGGGGTGTGAATGGATTTTGGGTGTGCATGATGGGGTCAGGGTGCTAGCTGCTTGCTGGGCCCTTTGGAGAATGGCTGGCCCCAGGTACCTGCTCTTCATCCAAGAACTGAGGGGGGTTTGGGTCAACTTGTATTAAAAGTCCTTTTAGTGTCAGGATGCTATGGGATTTGGGATGGGGCATCCTGATTCACCAGTGTAGTGAAAGATGATCTTCCTCAACAGACTTCTTCTTTCTCCTCAGGACATGGCTCCTGGGCCTGGTTTCCAAATGCCTCTGTCTGCCTGGAATCATCCTGGAGAGTCTCAGTGCTCCCCTGGGGCAGCAGAAAGCTGGATTTAAAAAAAAAAGATTAAAAAACAAGATAAAAATAAAACCCTTTTCATTGTAAAGTGGAACCCCTATAAAACACAGCATGGAGGGTTCGCAAACTATTAAAAATGGATCTACCATATGATCCAGCAGTTCCACTCTTAGGTATCTACCTGGAGAATATAAAAAACTAATTTGAGGAAAACATGCACTCAATGCATATTCATTTATAATAGTCAAACTATGGAAACAACTTAAATGCCCAACATAGACAAGTAAGTCAGGGAGATGTGGTCTATTTATACACTGATATAGGACTCAGCTACTAAAACAGATAAGCTCGGCCCTCCCTGGTGGTGCAAGGGGTTAAAGCTCTGAAACTACAGCAGCTACTGCAGTACCAGTTCGATCCTTGGCCAGGGAGGTGACCCACTTGGTGCAGCAGTCTTCTCCTGTCTCACCTGTTGCTCCCCTCAACAGTGTACCTCCATGATCTGCCTATTCTGCTCCAAGCTCGGTCTCTGGTGAATCCGTTCACTGCCCCTGCACCTCTGGCCTATATCCCAGTTCTGTATGCATAAATAAATAAATCTTAAAAAACAAACTAACAAACAAAAAACAGATAAGTTCTTGCCATTTGTGGCAACATGAATGGTGGCTGGGGGTCGGGGGGAATTGTGCTAAGTGATATAAGTGAGAAGAAGGAAGTCATATACCAGATAGTGTCATTTAGATGTGAAATACAGAGATGCCAAACCAAGGGTCAGATAGAGCCAAAGAACCATAAACCCTAGAAAGCTGAACATACATACAGAAAGCCATCAAGCAAATGTGTGTCTTGGAATCATTATAAGGCAAACCCCACTTCAGTCAGGAAATGGACCTTTGCCTGCCTCACAGACATCCCTTGAAGGCTCCTCTGACCACCTCCCACACTGGTTTCCAGTTTTGTCACCCTGAAGATACTGTAGCTTACTCTTGACCACCGATGTTTTCCTTCATCCCTTCCATTTCCAGAAACTTTGTTGCAGTTACCTGGCTGTTTGTCCCTCCGTGCACTGTGTCTCCTGCAAGTGGGCTGTGGGACCAAAGTGGGGTCAGGCTCAGGTTGGACCTTTGGCAAAAAATGAAGCTGATGATACTTAATGCATTTCTTGGTCTTTGGGGCTTTCAGTTTTTAAGGAATTCAAGACATTTTGGTATCACTTAATGCAAAAAGATGACCATATTTTAACACATGACTTGATGGCATGTCACTTGTGGGTATACTGTGGCCACCACCTGTACCAGCACTAGGGTGTCCCAAAGGTCCTGTTGACCGGAAGTCCCCCGGCAGAACCAACACTGTCTCAGCCCCAGCCCACTGCTCATCCTGGTCAGGTTAGGGCTCACACAAGGTGCATTCTGGGGACCTCAAGGGGCTACAGTTGCTGCATGTACCTGGAGCCCTGTCTTTTTCCTAGGGGGCTGCACGAAACCCCAGTGCACTGACTCATCCTCCTCTCAGTGTTCACAGCTACAGGCATGTAGTGAAGCTGGGAGTGGGTGACAGGCTCCTGATGGCTCTGCTCCTGTCTGCAGCTTGTGTTTGACTACCAGCCGGGTGACGTCTTCGGCTGTGTGGCTGACATCGGCTGGATCACAGGACACAGCTATGTGGTGTATGGACCCCTCTGCAACGGAGCTACCAGTGTCCTCTTTGAAAGCACCCCGGTTTACCCTGATGCTGGTGAGGATTGATGACCCAGACGGGTATCCAGGAGGGAACTAGAGGATGGAGAAGAGGTTCACCGGGTGCCTGTGTTCTCATAGCTGCCTGACCTTGAGCCCTGGTGGGCTGGGGCTGGGTGCCCTGTGTAAAGCGAGATCTGCCTGGCAATGGAAAGGGCCCCATTTGCCACAGAAGTTCCTCAGCACCTATGTAGTGTTCTTATCTAACCTCCAGTAGACTGCCTGCCTGCCTTGAACCTTTCGCATTGCCCTTCACCTCTTTGGCATCTGGGCAGATCCAGCTGTTCCTCCACTCCCAGGCTGCATCAGCCTCCCCAGACACGTCTGCCCTATGCCTTTGGGCTGTGCCGTTACAGCACCTCATGTATGGGGCCTGGAGCCACCTCCCTGAATTGTGATATCTTGAGGACATGACCACATCCTGCTCACCTCAGCATCGCCCTCCCACGTAGCAGTATCCCAAGCATCTGTTCTAATGGGACTGAGTCCTGTTGGCCGGAAGTCCCCTGGCAGAACCAGCACTGTCTCAGCCCCAGCCCGCTGCTCATCTTGGTCAGGTTGGGGCTAACACAATGTGCACTCTGGGGACCACAAGGGGCTACTGTTGCTGCTTGTACCTGGAGCCCTCCACAGTACTGGCAGTTAAGTGGGTGGAGCTTTGCTGCTCTCCAGCCTCCACATGGGCTGGATGGCCCCAGGAAGAGTGTGTAGGGGCACAGTGAGGGGCACTCCTCATAGAGGGGGAGTCAAGATGCAGATGTGACTCAGACACATCCTGTAGTTACTGGGAGTTCAATGATGTCACCTGGGCTATGTTTTAAATTCATGGCAATATCCTCCTGAATGGATTCCTTGCATCAATCATGTGGAATATACCGTGTGAATGCAGCTGTCCCGAGCCAGGTAGAGTCTGTTTTCAGCCTGTAGATACTGGTGTGCCAAGAGATGGCTGCTCAGCCCCTCTTTCCATCTTTCAGGGATGGTGCAGAATCCTGTTTTGGTGAACACGTGAGGTATTCACATGGATACAGCACACAGGAGCTGTTGACTGATCTCTAATCTGTATGATCTCTAATCACCAGTATCTGATGGGCTCCCAGACTGATAGCAATTTTGGCTTTTTATAGGTCGCTATTGGGAGACGGTACAGAGGTTAAAGATCAATCAGTTCTATGGCGCCCCGACGGCTGTCCGGCTGCTGCTGAAATACGGTGACTCTTGGGTGACGAAGTATGACCGCTCCTCCCTGCGGACTCTGGGGTCAGGTGAGTGAGCTCTTTTGCAGGAAAGGGGGCTCTGTTGTGAGCCAGAGTCTGTACAGTCTTCAAAATGGATTTAATCAAAAAAGCTTTGTGTGGCTGTGGTAGAGTCAAACTATGCGAGAACACCAAGAATTCAGCAGATGTCCCTGGAGCTGTTCCCCAGCGCTGACAGGCGTTAACAGTCTGGGCTTTACAACGCAGATATTTTCTGTGCCTGCATTCTGTGTTTCATCTTTATGATAAATCCTTAGCAACATAGTAAGATGTGACCCACGCCTCTCCTTAGTGGCTGCGTGGGATTGCAGTGGAGTAGGTAACTATAATTTATAGCAGCATTCCAACGTCGCTGGACAGCAGTTCATCCCAAGTACAGTCACACATTATTCTGTGTTTGTGCGCTGCTTTTACTGTAACTCCAGGCAGGGAGTAGCCGGATCAAAGTTTATCTCTGTTTCGATGTTGCTAAGTCACATGGAACATTCTGGAAGGGTGATGTGGGGTTAGGTTCTGGGAGTTCCCAGACAGTTCTGGGAGTGGGGAGCTACCCTGCCCATATTTCTCCTTTTCCTGCTGACTTTCATTTCTGCCCCTGCACAGGTCACAGTGGTCAATAAGGAAAATGGGTGGGAGGCTCTTCACGCTCCTCAGGTGGATACGTGGATCTGCTTGGCAAGGTTTTTCAGAGAAAGCACCTGGAGACGATTATTATGGGGATGTGTCTTTCTGAATATGCGTCTGCAGAAAGGGAGCTCATTGCACTAGTTGGTGAGGTGGGGATGCTGAGCAGGTACAGGTGTTAGGTCCTGGTTTGCTGTTCCCCTCACCTGCAGTATCCTGTGTCCTTCCCACCTCTCAGGCCCCTGACCCTCCTGTAAGCATCTTCTCTGTACATCTTCTCCCCTAGGTTTTTCTTGGCTGCTCTGGGCTTTGGGTTGCTGGCTCTCAGACACTTGTCCTTCTGCTTTCTCTCTGGGTGTGAGTTCCCAGAGGTCACAGCCACCTGGACCTTGACATGACACCCAGGCCTAGAGCAATGCAAGCAGAGTTGGCTTCTGCTAAGAAGCTGAATGATGATGATAGTGGGGGGTGGGGGGTGGGGAGAGGAGTGGGGAGTGTTTAGATACTGCCCTGAGGGCTCCATGTGAACCCTTAGTTTCCTTAAGGGCAGAAGTCACTTGGCACTGCCAGTGATGGATCCACCCTTCCAGGATGGATCTGGGCCCAGCCTTGGAAGATCTTCACATGTTCAGCTCTTACCTGCATGGGCCAGCTCAGCTACCTTTTGATCAGGATCAGTTTTTGTCTGCATTGCCAAGCATTTTGAGTGTTCCAGGTAGGCCAGCAGAACGACTGCCCTTGTAGGAGGTGTTGAGTGTGAGATGCCTCCCTTGGCAGGTGTATGGTGAGCTTGTGTGGAAGGAGATGACTTGCCTTCCACCACACAGGGCTTCTGTGCGGGCCCCTGCCCTATGGATCAGGCAGCACTTGGGGGCAGAGAGCAGGCAGAGAGGGCCATAGACACTTGCTCAGGTCCTCCAGGAATTGCCTGCAAGGGTATCTGCTTGGGTAGCTAGGTGGGGACAGGCTCAAGGTGGGTTTGGTTTCACAGAGGTGCTCTTGAGATTCAGCTGCTGAAGGAGGCTCACAAGGACCCAAGTGAGCAGTGACAGGATCTGAGAAGGGGACAGGAGAAGGGGAGCCTTGTGTCTGTGGGAGAAGGATGTACATCCCAGCTGAAAGCTGCCCCAGCCAGAGGTCTCCTGAGGCCAGATGCAGCCTCTGAACACCCCTTCTTTCCTTTCTCTCTTGGGTCAAGCACCACCAGTATGCATGGAACCTTTGTGTACTAGGAAGCCCGCAGAGCTTCAGCCAGGCTGTATTTGGCTGGTCTTGTGGGCATAATTCTGCCACGCAACCACATCAACAGCAGAGCCCCGGGGGATTCCCCAAATCAGGTGATCAACAAGCAGCCCAGTAGAAAGCCAGCAGACATCCCTGGAGCAAGGCACAGCATGGACCAGGATGCCTCATGCCCCAGCAGGGCCAGCGTGGTGCTAACTGCTGTTCCAGAGGTCAGGACACCTCCAGAAACTAACTAGCCTTCACAGCACACCAGAATTTGCTACACTGACTTCATTCAATCTTAGCAGTGCACAAAATCCAGTTCACTCAAGCTTTTAACCACTGAGCTATATTTTTTAAGCTTTAAACATCTAATTTCTTAAACATTTAACAATTATTTAATGTATTTACTTTCTTACATCATTCTTCATTTTTGTACCATATTTGATTTCTCCCTCAGGTATAGTCCCCATGGTTCCAATACCGTAGCATCCGTGAACCATCTCCATAGTCCCTTGTGCTCTTCCCGCCCCTATTTTGACCTCCTTCTTTTACCCTCCCCTCCAGTTTGCCTCAGCAATATGGTCTGCTGCAAGTTTTGTCTTTTTCTGACCCTTAGTTCAGCATCCTCTGTATTCCATATGGACGTGAAACCATGCTATCTTTATATTTTTTTCCTTCTGATTTAATTTGCTTATCATAACCCCTCCCAACTCCATCCATGTTGCCACAAGTGGCATAAGCTTACTTATTTGCTGTCTTAGGAATACTCCACTGTGTATATGTAACAAATCTTCCTGATCCACTCATCTGTTTTGGGATATGTGAGTTGTTTCCATATCTTAACTATTGTAAATAGTGCTGCATAAACATAGGAGTGCAGGTTTCCCTTCAAATTAGTGTTTTGGTTTCTTTGGATCAGATGGTAGGTCCATATTTAGCGTTTTTAGGAACACACAGCTTTCCAAATTGGCTGGATCAGTTTACCTTCTCACCAGCAGTGAGAGGGTCCCTTTTTCTCCAAATCTTCACCAGTGTTTGTTGTTGCGAGTTTTTTAATATTTACCGTCCTCACTGGTGTAGGATGGTATCTCATTGGGGGTTTGATTTGCTTTTCCCTGATAATATCTTCTGTTGATCATCACAGCTGCCCATTCATCTTTCTTTCCAGGAGAAGTGTCCTTTTAGTCCTTCTGCCCATTTTTTGACTGGTTGCTTGCTCTGTTTTTGCTCAGTTGTACACACTTTGTAGTCCTTTGCTACCAGTCCCTTGTGGGAGGTAAGGTGTGTAGACACTCTCTCGCCTCAGTTGTGTGTCTCTGCCTTTGGGTCACTGTCTCTTTTGCTGTACAGAAGCTTTTTAGTGTGATGTAGTCTCAACAGTTTACCTTCTTAGTTTTCCTTGTTTCTGAAGATGATTCCACGAAGTTGTTTCTGAGGCTTATATTGTAGAGTGTTTTACCATGTTTTCTTTGATGTGTTTTATTGTTTCTGGTGGTATAGCCAAGTCTTTTATTCATTTTGAGTTGATTTTTGTATATAGTGTGAGTAGCTGCTTAGACTGTTGAATTTTCAGCTTCACAAGGAACACTCAGATTCTTTTGATAAAAAGAAAAAATAGGAAACAGTGGTGAAAGCTGCATCCTCTGTGCCTGCTGTGCCTTGGGCCCTAATGCTTGTCTGGGTTGGGTGCCTTCTTTGTACTTACATTCCTTGCTGCGGGAGCTTCTTTCTTTAATGTGAGGAGCTCCTGCTGTGCTGTTACCCTGTAGTGCTTATTTTGACTCAACAACATATGGTGCTTTTCAGGTGAATTTGCCCCATGATTTGAAAACTGCCTCAGCAAGGGGTCCCCTGCACATCCCCACCAGCGCAACCTCAATTGTGCATTCCCACCTGTGGGAATTGTACTGCCCCACATAGTCATGTCTCTGTGGTTAGATACTTAGGTTCTGGCACTTTTTCAGTACATTCTCCAGTGCTGCAGTGTCATCTTCTTGCACCATCTTTGTGCATGTAAGAGTTCAGGGGTGACACGTACCTGCCCAGCCACCAACTACCCAGCATGGACCATCAGCATGGGAGGCCCCTCCAGGACAGTGTGGTTACTTGCTGCATTATGGATGGTCTTGACCAAAAGACACCCAGTGTGCATATTTTGCCAAGAGCATACCCAACCCGATGTGTTCTGGTGGAGGGCCAGCCTTGTGTGGGCTGTTTCATTAGGGTGTTTCTAAGTATGGCTGCTATCACAAAACCACAAATTGGGAGACTTACAGACAACAGAAATTTATTTCTCACAGTTGTGAAGGCTGGAACTCCAAGATCTGAGTTGCTCTTGGGTGAGGGCTGTCTCCTGGTTCCTAGCCTTCACTCCGTGTCCTCACATGGTAGAAGGGGAGAGGACAACATCTGGCATCTCTCTCTAAGAACATTAAACTCCTTCGTGAAGACTATATCTTCATCACACCCCAAGCCCCCACCTCCTACTGTTGTCACCTTTGGGTGTTAGAATTTCAACACAGGAATTCTAGGGGGACACAAATTTTCTGGACATAGCTGAGAACTATAGAGTCATAGGACAGAAATATTTTCCCTGTTCCACTGAAGTATACAGTATATGAAGTTTACAAGTATTAATGTATATACAGAGATATGTACACATACACACATAACCACTACCCAGATCAAGCCAAGGAAAATTCCAGTCTCTGAAGACTCTTCTCCCCTTCCCACCAAATAATTCCAAACAACACCGATCGCTGGCCACTCTCAGCATGGACTGATTTGCTTGTCCTTGAACTTTATACACTTGGGCTTATATGGCATGAGCAGCCTGTGGGCCTGCTGCCTTGGTGGGGGTGCTAACTCTGAAGTCCACCCCTGTTGTGAGCAGCAGTGGTTCTCTCACCTTCATGCCAGCAGGTGTTCAGCTGCACAAGTAAGTCACAGTTTATTCATCCATCTTACTTATTGTTGGCCTGTTTTATTTTTTATTTTTGCTGTGAACATTTTAGACATGCACTCAATTCCATGGACTATATGCCAGGAGTGACATTTTTGAATATTAAAATCAACATATTTAGCTTCACTAGATTCTATCCCAAACAGTTGTCTGAAGCAGTTCTATTGTATTTTATACTTCTAAATATTAAAGCATCTGAATTGTGCCCCCAATTGTTGCATCAGATTATATTCCTACAGTGTGTGTAGCATTGTTCCCCATGTTCTTGTCAACTTCTTGATTTTGACCCTCTGATAGTGAAAATATCTTATTGTAATTTGTACATCTTGGATGGCCACAAATGTGATAGACCTCACAGCTTTCTCAAGACTCCTCTTCTGTCCTTTGGGAAAATAATAAAGCCATTCCCCTTAAAAACCTTTTCCTTTTGGAAAAGGGTTCAGATTCATTGGAGACTGTTAATATCTTTCTGTGTGTGTGGTTTCAGTGGGAGAACCAATCAACCAAGAAGCCTGGGATTGGCTCCATAAGGTGGTGGGCGATGGCAGATGCACCCTGGTGGACACCTGGTGGCAGACAGGTGAGTACATGCCCCAGAGGGCAGGGCTAGCTAGGAACTAGGACAGCTGTGATCTATTAGTGGAATGAGAGCACGAGCTAAGTACCCAGCATGGGGTCCCTTTTGACCCCATATATGTGAACTGGGCCCAACATCACTAAAGCCTTGGCCCTTTCACATACATGGAATTGAAAATCTGATGTCTGGAGTCAGAAAGATCACAGGAAGCCTGGCTGCATTGTTCAGCTGTGGACTTGGGATGTGTCCCTATTTCTCTAAACCTTGATTTTCTCATATGTATATGGGAGTTGGGGGTGCTGCCTCCAGGTTCTGGGTGAGGGCAGGTGACCCAGCTAGTGCCTGTGAGTTGTGAGTGCTCTATTGATGTGCACTTCCTCCTTAGAGCCCACTTTCTGAAGGCAAGTACATTTTATAAGATGTGCCCTATGATTTTTTTTAAACAAAAGATTTATTTATGTATACAGAAATGGGGTACAGGCCAGAGGTGTGGTGGGTGAGAGGATTCACCAGAGACAGAATGGAGAGCAGAACAGGCAGATTGACAAAGTACACTGCTGAGGGGAGCAGGGGGCGGGTCAGGAGAGGTCTGCCATGCCATGTGGTCAGCTTCTTGGCGGGGGATCGAACTCATGCTCTAGTGGCTTCAGAGAGCTTCATAATGCGGTGCTTTAACCCATTATGCCACCAGGAAGAGCCCCTGATGTGCCCTATGGTTTAACAGACCTGAGTTTAAATTTAAATTTTGATGGGAAAGGAACTTTGTTTTGGTGTGTTCCTTTTTCTTCTTGGACACCTGATTTATTAGTATGTTTGGGGCAAGAGCCCACCCTGATATAATAAATACAGTCCTCTGCACCCTTGTCCTTCAAGGAGACTGTAGTGAGACATTCTGAATAGCCCAGTTTGTGTACTACCTGCGCCCACTTGGGAACAGTACTGAATGTCTGTCAAGACCCTTTTGGGGCACCGATTGGATAAGTGTGTCTTTAGACCCTGGCTAATCTAATCTATTTCTTCCTCATCTTCTGTACAGAAACGGGGGGAATCTGCATTGCACCTCGACCCTCGGAAGAAGGGGCAGAAATCATCCCTGGCATGGCCATGAGGCCCTTTTTTGGCATTGTCCCAGTTCTCATGGATGAGAAGGTATGTAAGGGCTGTGCAGATAGTTGATAAAGTAACTTCATAGCTGTGAGCCGAGGGTCTCCTCAGAATCCCTGCAAATTCAGTTGTCTGCAGAGAAAAAACAAAAACAAACACAAAAACTCTGGACAGTTCCTTTTGTCATTTTCCTGCTTCTGGCCAGGCAGTTAGAACAATGCTGACTGTGAGCTCTTTGCTTTTGAGCCGGATCTGCCTGTCCTCTCACACCTGTGTCCCATGTCTTAGGGGAACATCAAGGAGGGCGGGGATGTCTCTGGGGCTTTGTGCCTCTCCCAGGCCTGGCCGGGAATGGCCAGGACCATCTACGGAGACCACCAGCGGTTTATGGACGCATACCTCAGGGCTTATCCAGGTGAGCAGCCCAGGCAGATCGGTCACTCCTTCCTCCTCTTCCCTCATCCCCACCCTCCACTGCTGGAAGTATTATTCTAGAACATATCCACAAACATCCTTAATTAAATTTCCTGGAATATAAACAGGTGTTTGAGCTCTGTCCTCCCCCCCCCCGCCCCCTCCCTCCCATTTGCCTCTCTGACTTTCCTTGTCTCCACAATAAACAGAAAACACCTTAGGAAATGATCATGGGGGCTATGAATTTTCTTCTGATTTACTCCCCTTTACCCCCAACTTGCTTTTAGTCATATGCAGTTTGCCTGTTGGAACTAGTCATCTTCAGTATCAAGTTTAAAGGGAAACTCACAGTTCCGGGAGGCTTGAATGAATATCTATTGCTCCATATGTTTGCAGATGGATGTCAGGGACAGTCTGCTGTCTTGAAACATCTGCATTTTACTAGGACACAGCTATAGGGCATCCTTTAGAAGCCCTGGTGGGTGGGGGAAGGGTATTGCAGGAGGACCAGCAAGCAGGGAGTCAGGATGCCCGGCTTCAGAGCTGCGTCTGGAGAACAAAGTTGGGAGCAAAGTCCATTGTGCCCTCCTGGAAGCCTAGTGGGCCTGGTTCAGTGCTGGTGCTGAGCGCCCCTGCCGTGACACAGGCTACTACTTCACTGGAGATGGGGCCTACCGCACCAAGGGCGGCTATTACCAGATCACAGGGCGCATGGATGACGTCATCAATATCAGCGGCCACCGACTGGGGACCGCAGAGATCGAGGATGCAATGGTGAGCACGGGGTGGGCCTTCCTTGCTCGGGTACCTTGGCAAGATTGCTGGTGGCCTCAGTTTGGGTGGTGAGCTGCGCTCTGGATCAGTGTCTCAGCTGCTGTTGTTATGTTATGCGCAGGCTAACCATCCAGCAGTGCCCGAGACCGCAGTCATTGGCTACCCCCATGACATCAAAGGAGAAGGTGAGAATCATAGAAGGCGCTCCTCTCCATTCCTGATCTCTGTGCAAGGAACAGAATTCAGAGGATGGATGGCAGGAGGTTTTTTTTGGTTGAACTGTTGGTTTTCTTCTCTCTCACGTGGAGATTCGGGATCAGGAGGCTGACCAGCACAGTTTAGACCAGGGCTAAGGGTGTTTGTGAGTGTGTTCTGGAATATGATTCCAGCAGTGGGAATTGGTGACGAAAGAGGAGGAGGAAGAGTGACTGATCTGCCTGGGCTGCTCATCTGGATAATTCCTGAGGCATTTGTCCATGAATCACAGGTGGTCTCTGTAGATGGTCCTGGCTATTCCCGGCCAGGCCTTGGAGAGGCACAGAGTTGCAGAGACATCCCCGGGACATCTCCTGTGAGAAGACAGGCAGATCTGGCTCAGAATCCCTACTTGGAAACACCCCAGCTCTTCTGTCTTTAAAGATGCTCATCTCCAAGCAGCTGGGACCTCTTTAGCCCTCAGCTTAGTTCAGGAGTTCCTGCTCTGTGCCTGGCACCTGCTACTGGGCAGCTATTGCCATGCCACTCCTGCTTAGTGTATCTGCAAGTGCAGGTTACAGTGTGCAGGAGCTGCCGCCGGCAGATCTGAGTGCGTCTCGAGAGAGCTCTTTTGCTCTACGACTTTTCGGGGGAGGAATTTGATCTATGGTTGCCATTGCACATCTATGTGCAGAGGCAAAACATTATCAGAATGGGCTTTACCTAGGACAGTGTTCCAAAGTCCACCATTTTCTAGGTGGGTCAGTCTGGGCAGGAGCAGAGCACGTGAGTGTGGTAATATTTGGTAAGTGGCCACCACGCCTGGCTGGGTGAAACCCGGACACTCGCTCCACTAAGTGGCCATTTTTCTGGGGTTGGGTGCTCTCCCTCCAGCTTGCAGGGATATCTAGGGCCCTGGCATGCTTCATGTGCTACCTCTTTCCCTGCCACATTTGCATGTCATTGTTTCTTTATTTCTTTTACAGTTGACCCATGGTAAACTTTAAACTTTATTCAGGTGCTTATAAGAAAACATTGTAGGTTGTCCTGGAGGCTGTCAACCCTTTGTTATAGGTAGACTGTGGATGGAGCTGGGAACGGTCCTCACGTGTGACTGTCAGCAGCCGTAGGCCTCTATACTTCCTTCTGCTGCTTCGGTCACCTCTTTTCCACAGCCTAAGCAGTTCTAGTATTGCCAGGTCGTTCAATGTCTGCCAGCGGATGGGGATAATTTTTATACTGTGGATATAATGGGATATGCATTTCCTGGTATCTCAGGAGGGTGAGAGGATTCACCAGCGATAAAGTGGGGAGCAGAACAGGCCGATCGACAAAGTACACTACTGAGGGGAGCAGTGGGCGAGATAGGAGAGTTCTGCCAGGCCATGTGGGTCATTGAACTCATGCTGAAATGGCTGGGCTAGCTTCGCAGTGCTGTGCTTTAACCCGTTGCACTACCAGGGAGGGCCCCGATACAAACATTTTGATTAATGTTGATTGACCCCACAGTGGACCTTCCAAGCCAGCTCAGATATTGGGCTGACCCTCTTCCTCTGAACCTCTGTGGTACAGGTGGACTGCGTGGCATCTCAGCTAGAGGAGAAAAATTCATCTCTTTCCCACAAAAATCCCATCCAGGGCTTCCTGCCATAATGGGGCTGGTCCTTCATCTGTGCTGTCCATGGTGATGGCTGCTGGTAATCTGAGGACCCACAGACTTAATTCAGTTTTAGTTGAAATAGCCACCATGCCAGTGCCTGCTACCTTGAACATGCACCCATGAGGTTAGGCCACGGCTCAAGCTTGGGCATGGCTAGTGAGTCAGTACACAGCCACACGTGCCTACCTGAGGAATGTTCTTCCTACTTTGAATGAAAACAGTAACACATCTTTAGGATTACAAGTAAAGAAACTGGCTGCTTCAAGATCACCAACATGATTTAAAAATCCCTTCGATTTGTCTGTGTACAACTTGGGAGAAGGCTGTGGTCTAACTAAATCTCTGCTTTCCTTCCAGCTGCCTTTGCCTTCGTGGTGCTGAAAGACGATGCAGCTGATGCCGATGTGGTGATGAAGGAGCTTAGATCTACAGTGGCCACCAAGATTGCCAAGTACGCTGTGCCTGACCAGATTCTGGTGAGTGGGCATCCCCCATCCCCTGGGTGACCTGGAAGCTCCTTTTAGGCATCTATCTTCACTTCCACAATTGACACATAGCAGGGATCCCTCTATCAGCAACTGTGACTCTGTGGGGAGAGAAAAGATGGGGGGTTGCCGTACTGTCAAAGGCAAAGACGTTGTAGCAAGTGTGTGCCCAACTGAGGGGAGGGGCTGGTGCTGGGCCAGAGGTCTGCTCTTTAAAGTTTGGCATCTGAAGGTTAGTTACAGGTACAGGAGAAAAATCAGACCTTATGAGTAGGGAAGTATGTAGAAACTACAGATTGCAGGGAGCCATTTCTCAGGGCCAGCAAGAGAGAGACGCCAGGTCCCTGCTGAGAGACTATGTGTTGGAGTCAGGAGAAGAGCTGGGTACCATGTCAGCCCTGTTGGTTTTCACTCTTTCCTTTGCTGACATTTTCCCTACAGCATTCCTTGGCTTGGCTGAGGTCCTCTGAGGTGGAGTGGCCTCGTGACACTAGGTGGGGACAAGGTCATCAGCTTGGTGATCAAAGTCACTCCCCTTAGATGATCTCAAGTCTTTCAAAGCCAAATTGCTCTTAAAACCTAGGGCACAGTAAACAAGTGTATTACTGTTGGCATGGAATGGACTATGGCGGTTTGAAAATATTAAATGTTAACTCTCAAACACTAATAAGTAAGAGCATTTCTCTTAAGTAAGTGCTTTCGGCTCTTATGTAAGACTCTCAAATTACTCCTCAGACAAGGGCACAGAAAAGAGGTGCCAAAGTATGTGTTCAGCTTTGTTGCTACCTGCAGCACTCACGAGTGTTGGACCAGAGAAACAGGTCCCTGTAGTGAGGTAAATCCAGGGGGGCTGTTGGCAGCCCCTCCTGTTGGAGGGCTTCAGCGTGACACATGGTTGAGCAGATTACAGATTTAGGTCTAGAATGGAGGAGTTCAAAACCAGAGCACAGCCAGGCCATTCTGTGAGGCAGAGCCCTACACACTAGCCATTGGTCAGCAAAGCCCAAGTGAGACTACCCCAGGTAGAGCACTTCTCATGTCCATGCAGTTAGATACAGTTGGGAATCTGGCACTACCTCAAACACTAAAGCTGCACCCTTCCCTGCCAGGTAGTGAAACGTCTTCCAAAAACTCGGTCTGGAAAAGTCATGCGGAGACTTCTGAGGAAGATCATCACGGATGGGGCTCAGGATCTGGGAGACACCACCACCCTGGAGGACCCCAGTGTCATCACAGAAATCCTGAGTACCTATCAGAAATACAAAGACAAGCGGGCTGCTACTCAGTGAGGCCACGCCTCACCCTGCTCTGTGCCTCAACCTCGTCTTGTCCTCCTAGAACGTAGCTGTCAGGTTGGCTGTCCTCCAGCACATCCACACTGCCCCCTTGTGAAGTCCATGCTGGACTCTTCCTCCTTTCTGTCAGAGAACCCACAAGGAGGAAGGGTCAGCATTTGTGCCATTTGCCCTGAATTTGATTTCCTGCAATGAAGAGTCATTGTCATTTCTGTTTGTGTCCTTAGTAGACAGCACAGCAAGATGAAAAACCCAGTCAGGTGTGCCTGCTCAGGTGACTTAGATCTAGATGCAATCATGTCTCCCCTAGGTATTTCTAGATACAAAAGGCAGAGATTTTATTTTTATACTTTTATATTTTGGAAGAATTATGTGCAAGCAAACATATGTAATGTGTGGATTTACTTGTACATGCTTTGTAATATTTAGAGTTATGAAAATCTTTTTTTTTTCTTTTTTGCCTCCACACCTGAGGAATGGTGGAGAGGACCTGAGGGTGTAATTTCATTTACCATTTGGCACATCTGCAAGTCTTTATTGGCAATGTTTGTACCACTGTCTCAACATAGCTATCTCGAGAACTCTCAAGCTTGCAGGATCATCTTGGTGTGCATTTCTACTTCCCCTGGTTTGTGTACAGTGCAACTAACTGCTAAAAGTGATGGTGTGAGCACACCTGCCTTCTAATTCTAAAGGCACTCCAGTCATGAGTTTTGTCTCTCCCAGCTGTGATCTGGGAAGACTCTCCCTCTCCACCTTGGATTCCTCTTGCTGGGAAATCAGTATGTTCTAGTATGTGGGGTGGTCGAGGGAAGCCAGTGGAAGCTTGGTCACATGTTAGAGCATGATTTGGCTAGAACTGGGTCCTTGCACTCTCATCCTTCCTCCCGTGGTTGGGGTGGGGACCTGAGAACTGCAGCAGTCCAGTGATAAGACTTGGTGTATCTCTCCCTTTCTCTTTTATATAATGTGCCTTAAGTCCTCTGAGTGTTAGCAAGATAATTTAAATCAGTTGGTCACAAAGTGCTCTTCCAGTGCTCTTAGCAAAGCATGCAGGGGCTGATGGTGTTGGGTGTGGGTGAGGTAGCCTGCTGGACTGGGTCTTTGAGCATGGCAAAAGGTTGTTCCTGTCTTTGCCCCATGGGATACAGCGCCCTGCAGCTGAACATGTACTGTGGGCCCTGGCTGTGCTGGCCTTGGTGATTAGGTAGATAGACCAAGAACCCTCAGTGGGGTTGTGTTGGCTGTAGCATAGCTCTATACAGGGTGACGGGTGGCTGTTATAACTCTTGGCAACAGAGAACCATGGCTGGCCTTGCTGCATTTGTGTTGGGCTTGGCAGACTACAGCTGGCTGCTATATATAAAATGGCTTAGACTATATATAAAATGGCTTAGGGCTTAGACATCAATTTAGACAGTACCCAGGGTCTCAGAGTGATTGGTAGGGCAGTTTAAATAAAAATCTTACTTTGTTCATTCTCTTTTCTTTGTAATAATGTTTTTAATCAAATAATGCTTGTTCTTTGTTGCTGAATTCACTTAAAAGAGAACACTTAAAAATTCCTTTATTTTATAGATGCTCATTAGAAGTCACCTATGTTAGACTGTATTTGGTAAAGCTACCTACGTGTAGATTACTGTGCTGTCCACTGAACAAGCTATGTGCATGTGTGTGTGTATAGACATAAATAACCAAAATAGAATAAAATATTCCATTCCTTGGTAGCAGTCGCCATACATGACCAGTAGCTACCAGACTGGACAACATGGAGAAAACATTCCCATCATCACACAGAATTTTGGTGTCAGCCTACAACATGATGAGGGTGAAGAAGCACAAAAAAAATCTTTAGACAGTTGAAGTCAGCACCACAGACTTACCTGAGAGGTATCAGCTTGCCTGGGAGAGACACCCCATAATCCAGATCACCCTTATGTCAGATGTGCAAGGATGCAGTTTCTGGTGTCCTTCACTGAATGGTGAAGCAGATTTTAAGAGAAGAACATATTGAACTGGGGTTGTGAAGGGAGAGAAATGAAGTCTTCAAAGCCTATGAAGCCTGGACTGACTGCTGCCTCCAGAGCGGGTGCCAGGATGGCTCTTCCCAGTGTCTGCTCTTGTGCCACAGGGTGAGGGGAAGGAGGATGGTATGGGGCCCAGCTAAGCTCTGAATGCATGGGTAGGCAACTTACTGAGGAAAGACACATTTTTGAACAGTATATATATATACTTGGCCCAACAAAGTATATATATACTGCCATGTCAGATTCCTGTTTACCCAGTTATTACAGTCACTCCATTGGTTTCTCCTCTTCTTTGGGTGAAGGTGCTTTGTCTCCTGGGAGTGACAGAGCCGTACCCTGTCTAATTTCTGGTGGATTTCTGTACAAAGGAGAGCATCACTTTCTGCAGGTACAATGTGTGGGCAACCAGGAGCCCTAGGTAGCTTTCCATTTCTTGGTCATCATGGTTTTAATTTCTTTCCCAAAGTTCTCAGGGATAGTCTACTCAGAGCTCTAGATACAGTAGCAATTATGCTTACGCACCTAGCCCCTTAGGTGGGGCCATGGTTGATGGACAGTCAGCTTTTGCCAGTGAGAATTTCAATGAAGTTCCTGGTATGGATACTATAGACCAAGGAATAGCAGCATTGAAGTTGGGTAGCACTGAAGCTGCAAGCAATGTTCCACCGGTACGCTTTGCTCTTGGTAGCGGGTTCATTACTAGTAACATCATTGCTTCCAATAGTTTGCCTCCAGCTACCATTGCTCCCCCAAAACCAGCATTTTGGGCTGGTATTGCTAGCGAGCTTGCAAAACAGCAACCTCACTGAAGACCGAAAATGACATTGCAGGGTCAAGTTTTCCACATCTGCCTCCACAATAAAGCATAACAAAGATATTGGAACTTGGGATAGTAAGGGTTCTGTGGCAAAAGCACCTCACAATGTGCATCAGCAGCTAACCCAGGGGTCTCCCCAGCCTGTAGTCAGCAGGCAGTCCATAGCCCACAAGTGACTCAGACATCAGTAGGGTGAAGACACAACCATGGCCCCCACCTCCACCACAGCCCAGCCAGCTCTCAGCCCAGCCACAGGCCACTCAGCCAACCTGCTGGCTAGTGCCTCGGAACTGTGGCAGTGTGCTCGGTTATAATGGGGTGGATGGAAATGGGAGTCGGTCCAGTCTCAGGCCGGGTCTGGATCTATGTCTTGGGAACCTCACCTGGTGCTGGAGAAGCTGCAGTCCATTAATAACTATAACCCCAAGGATTTTGACTGGAATCTGAAGCAGGGCCAGGTTTTCCTCAGTCACTCACTCATTCCATTAAATATAATATCTGGTACAGCACAGAGCATGATAACAAAAACTGGATGTTGTTTACTGCTCCACGAATGGGAAAGGCCTGTTTACTTACTTTTCAGTATCAAGCAGTGGACATTCTGGGATGTTGCAGAAATGAAATCTGCTGTGGGCTACAACACATGTGCAGGTATGTGGTCCCCAGACAAATGGGTCGCTTTGATGTCGGGTGATTTTTGTGACGAATGTTCCAGTAGCCAACTAAAACACTTTCATTTAGAGAACAAGAATACGCCAGTGACCAACTCCAGGGACACTCAGGAAGTGCCTCCTGAAAAGACTAAGCAGGTGTTGAAAATCATGCAGCCACTAATACACCACTCTCATTTTGGATGGCTTCTCACACTGTGAGATGGGCCAAGCAGAATGTCAAGTCCATGGGAAATAAAGACAGGGACTTCAGCAACAGTTGCACCTGCATATCCTAAGAGGGAAAAAAAATGAGCTTCAAGAGAATCAACTTTTTTCTTAATTTCACTGACTTCAGGCTTGGAGTTTAACTATGGAATTTCACAAAAAAACATAGGACTTAACTGCAAAATGAAAAAAAAGAAAAGAAATAAAACAAAAAAAAAATCTCTCTAGATAGGTGAGAAATGTCTTTGGCTTTGGTTGTGATTTCAGAGCATAGTGCTTTTTATTTTTCTGACTTTTATGTTTTCAGATTTAAAAGTATAAAACTATATAAGCATATACAGTTTCCTCTGATTATTTTTTAAAGGTTTATTTATTTATGCATACAGAACTGGGGTACAGGACAGATGTACAAGGGCGGCGAGAGGATTCACCAGAGACAGAGTAGGGAGCAGAACAGGCAGATGACAAAGTGCACTGCTGAGGGGAGCAGTGGGTGAGTCAGGAGAGGTCTGCCACGCCATGTGGGTCACCTCTGGGGCAGGGATTGGGGATCGAACTCATGCTGAAGTGGCTTTAGCTTCTTAGTGCTGTTGCTTTAACCTGCTGTGCCACCAGGGAGGGTCTCCTCTGATCTTTTTAACCGTTTCCTCCCTGCCTTTCCTCCATTTTGGCACTTGTACTTGGAGAACACTTGAGTTTTGAAGGTTTTGGGCCACTACCCCAAAAAGTGAGACTTTTTTCCTTCTGAGAAAACATTTCTATTAAGAAGACATTTCTATGGAGAATTTAACAGTGTTTGCCAAGGGTGGTTCCTTTTCTCTGACCCTTTGTTACTCAAAGTAAAGTCCTAGGAGTCCTAAGAATTGTTCTGTTTTTGTACATAATACTGATTAAGTCAGGAATAATCTGATTTCAAAGCTACAAACAAGGGTAATAGTTTGTTTACAAAAATGTATTTTGGAAGAGAAAAATATTGTAAAATGTGTAGTGAGTGTTTCTTCAGCTTCTGTTCAGCCAATGAGGAAAGGACATTGCCTTTCTTTTTACCATTGATCATTTCTAAATAAACATGGGATCCTGGTGAGCATTAAAGTAAAAGAATATGATCCAAAAGTAGATACATAGTGAGAAACAATAATAACAGTATTATTTGCACAAGAAGTGAGAGAGGTGGGGGTGGGTGGGGAGAGTAGGGAGGGAAAATTTATAGACTGGCAGGTGCCCAGAAATTAATCCTACCTTAAAAGCATGGGAACACAGATTGAGGTCCAAGCAGATGCCACTTGTGGCACAGTTGGCAGATTTTCCACAGGTACTTCCCCCTTCTCCCCCCCACCCCCCCAAAATGGCTTTTCTGCCAAAAGCCCTAGCACCACCCCTATTTCCTATGAACTCTTGCTCAGGGGGTAGATTCTGGAAGCCTCCACCTTCTGCCACCAAGTACCTCCCACTGACCAGGAGGTTGCTGCTCACTGTTCTTACACTGCCAATGGCTAAGACAGGGTGCAGAGGGGAGTGGGAGGCCTTGCGCTGGCACAGGGCAATGCTGTGGAGGTCAGAGCAACACTGAATGGAACACGGGGTGACTCACGGAGGCGGGGACAAGGTGCACCAGGCCTGCCCGCCCCTCTACTTTACTTGCAGCTTTGGGCTGTCATAACTGAAATGTTCTCACAAAGATCCAAGTCAGTGCAAATGAGCAAACAGGAGGCGGCAGCTACTATGAGTGCAGAGGTTGAGACATCTAGTGTTGTGGTGCTGCACAGAGAAGTGATGACACTGGGGGCTCAAGGGGCCTGGGTGGAACACTTCCATCAGTCTCCCAGTCAGTGTATGTATTACATTTGTAATGATCTTAAGTCTCAAGGCAGATGAAATTCGAATTCAGAAGGAAGCAGTATGCAGTGGCTTTTTAAGAATACTTCCCATTTAAAGTGGCTAGAATGCAAGTCATTGTGTAAGGGGAAAATTTCAACATGACTAATGTCAGAAAAATGTTCCTATTAAATAGAAATTTAAAAAAGAAATCATGGTTAATGTTCATGTCCAAAGTGATTTCTGAGATGACTGAGGCACGTGATCATCCTAGTTCACCCAGCAGCCGAACTCACGTTGAAGAAAGGGTACCCTGAGTTGTCCCCCCTCTCCTCGACCCCAGGAGGAAAAGAGACTCAGCTTTGGACTTATGTGAGTTGTTAGTTCTCACAGAGCTGATGTGTACCACTGTGTCAACTGCTGTTTTGATGCCCACCACCAGGACTAGGTTAGACACATCTCCGGGCTGCATAGGCTCTAGAAGCTGCCATTCCTCACCTCATCTTCTGAGGCAGACAGTTATTTCCTGCACCCTTCACCAAAAGGTAGGGCCCCTTCCTAGGAGATCTTTGGGAATGGCAATGGTTGTTTTATTTACATTTTTTATTACATTATTTTAAAGTGATTTTTAAAAATATTTAGTTATGCATATAAGAACTGGGGTACAGGCCAGAGGTGCAGGGATGAGAGGATTCACCAGATAGTGGGGAGCAGAACAGGGAGATACACTGAAATACACTGCTGAGGGGAGCAGCAGATGAGCCAGGAGAGGTCTGTTGTGCATGAGTTAGCCCTTGCTGTAGTGGCTGCAGATAGCTTCACAGTGCTGTGACTTAACCCTTTGCGCCACCATGAAGGCCCCTTAAATGATTTTTTTTTTAAGATTTATTTATTTGTACATACAGAACTGGGGTACAGGCCAGAGGCTCAGGGGCGGTGAGAGG